CAGGGGCCAAAAGATCCCCTGGAACTGGAGTTACAGACAGTCATGTGTATTCTGGGAATCAAACCCTGATCCTCTAGAATAGCAACGAGTGCTCCTGACCAGTAAGCCATCCCTCCAGCCCCCAGAGCAGCAGCGCTCTTAACTGCCCGACTCTCTCTTGCACCCTCCATTTTAGTTTTGAAAAGTGCATTGTGTGAGACGGCCTTGCAGGTAGAAGTGTTTGCGGCATAAGTAGCATGACTTGTAGCATAGAATGACTTGGGTTCAAGCCTGGGACCAACCCTGGAAGGACAGAATCCACTGCCAAAAGTTGCCCTCTGACCTCCACATGCTGCTCACTATGGTACACACACACACACACACACACACACACACACACACACACACCCACACACCCCAAATAATTTTGGAAGTGTCTTAAAAGACACACAAAACTGTTAATAATTAGTAGTAACAATGCTATCCAAAATTAAGAAAATATTTAGTTTCTATTTTCAACTTAAAAATGATGGGAAATTATAAAAAGCAATAGCTTAAGCCCCTGTTTGCTTTGCTCTGTAGCCATTTAAAAAGCAAAGCAAAGTCCCTGGGCCTGGAGTCTGGAGTCTTTAATCCTATCTTCTCCCAGTCTGAGGCAGGAAGCTGGCAAGCTCAAAGCCTTTTGGGGCAATGGGGCTACAGGGAAAAACCAAAATAAAACCCTTGACTGTCTTTCTGGTTATTTGTCCTAAAGAAATAATGTAAGACACTAAAAACAAAAGCTACATAAATAAAGACTTTTAACTTTGACTTCTGTGGTCACAAAAAAACAAAAAAACTGGGAGCATGCATAAACAGGAGAAAGCTCAACCAGGCAGTGGTAACGCACACCTTTGATCCCAGCACTTGGCAGGTGGATCTCTGAGTTCAAGGCCAGCCTGGTCTACAGAGTGAGTTCCAGGACAGCCAGGACATTCAGAGAGACCCTGCCTCAAAAAACATGTTGGTGGAGGTTTCAGTCCTGTTAGCAGCTCCCAAATAACTGGCACAGAAACTCAATATTAATTATAAATGCTTGGCCAATAGCTCAGGCTTGTTAACCCATATTTCTTACCTATGTTTTGCCATGTGGCTCATTTACCTCATCTATGAACTTCATGTTGCTTCTTCCGCATCTGCTCTCAACACCTCTGACTCCACTCTTCTTCTTCCCAGAACTCTCCTAGTCTGGTTCTTCTGCCCAATCTCTCCTGCCCAGCTATAGGCCAGTCAGCTCTTTATTAACCAGTGAGAGTAATACATATCTACAGTGCACAAAGATTGTTCCATAGCAAAACCAAAGCCAACCAAACAGCAACAACAAAAGGAGATAGTTCAATGATGACAAGTCATCAACACATTGAGGTATTACTCAATCTTAAAATAATCATGAGCCCATAGAAACTTGGAACGAGAACACACAAGCTTTTGCAAAGAACATAAACGCTAAAAATATGCATTTGTGTCTATTGGCAAGAAAGCAATGTGCAACATAAACTTAATCTCTAAGGATAAAAAAATCCATACTGAGATATTAACAATGGCAATTTTTGACGAGAAAGGTTGTGGATGGCTTTCTTTCCCCTGCCAATCTTCTCTCTGCTTCCCAATTTTCACATCACCAAAACAACTTACGTTTTATTTGAGGGGTAGGCCAAAGTTGACTCTGTGAATGAATCCTTACCTCTTTTTTTTCCTGAGGAAATAATGTATGATAAAGATGATGCATACCATAGGTCAGCACTGACTTTAGCAATATTATTATTATAAAACTATTACTTTCGGGGCTACTGGAAATAACATGATGTCCTGTAAAAAAAAATGGGGGGTGGGGGTGGGGGGCAGGGAGAAGAAAGAACAGAAGTAAGGAAGATAAATTGACTGGAGTCCCAGAAGCTGGCTACTTCCCTTGCGTTGTGTCGCCACCCACCTGGTCCTTGGTTTGGAGGCTACTGGTAGCCATTTCTCGCCTTCTGTTTCTCCTTCTACCATTCTGCATCTTCGTGCATTATGGCTTTCGCGTACTTCCTCTACCAAATGTAACTTCCTTAAAGACAGAGATTAGGGCCTGTTCTGTTCCCTGATAGGTCTTATAGGCTTGGCATGTAGGTACCTAACATATATTTGTGGAGTTAATGTGTTATAGATTGAATACAGTGGAGGCCTTCTGGGAACTCTGTCAAGAGGAAAAGAGCAAGCAGAGGCAGAGGCCTGGATGCAGGAAATCCCTAGAGAGCGTCGAAGCCCAGGTCCAGGGTCTGAGGGTCATGGTATGTTGGAGTCTGGTCAGAGTGGACATCACATCACCCCATGATTGGATTTAGGGGTGGGGTGCAAGCAGGAGTTTCCAGACCTTACTTTTCTGTTGGGAGGTGGGAGTTGCTGCCATTTCCATGGATTTCTCCTCCATGTTAGATCATTCTTAACAGAAGGCTAGAGCTCAAACAGACCCAAACTGCCTGCTGGAGGTACTCATGAGCCAAAGCAGACACATCTCCTGTCACAAGGGACAGATATCAGAAAGGGGGGTTTTCAGGTGATGACCTAAGGACCAAGACTCAAAGCCCTGGAACCCTCAGTGTTACCAGGCAGGCATGGAAAATATAAAATTAGGAGGTTCGTTAAGTGGGTCAGTAGACCCTCTTGAGAAGACGTGTTCCACATCAGCTTCAGGATTTAGATAAATGGAAGGAGAGGAAGCAAGAAAGGGAGGACCGGAAGAACCAGGGAGCCTATGTGGTACTTCCTTGGAACAGGCGTCTTCCGAAGCAACCTTGGTCAGGGATCACAGTCCTGGATGGAGGTGGCAATTGATGTTAACTTAGACTGAACATTGAATGAGTCAGGGACCTTTGAGGGTTCATCTCTCTTCAAGGAATGCAGTTAATAGCCTTGTTTCTTTCCACACATTTCATCCATAAACTTTTGTGTCTTCCCTTCATATGAACATCGCTGCTGCTCAGGGTGACTGCCCTGCTGTGGGTTTTAATGCTTTCAAGTTTGTGTTTTCAAGAACCTCACACTGAAAATATTGATTGGGCCTGCTCAAGGAAATCTCAACCTGTCAACTACACTCCTTTTTCTTCACAGATGAAGAGATCGTCTATACTGAATCTAACCACCTCCAAGGAGACGAGACTATACCTCTCCCACCTCTTGCCTAGTTAGTATCTGCCTCTAGGAACTGATCTTCCATCGTCTGCCCTAACTGCTCCAGTCTACTCAGCCAGGAGTCAGAGTGCCTCTCCAGTCAGCACAGGCTGAATAAGCCTGGCTGAATTTCACCCACCAGTGTTTGTCACGACGGCTGTTCATCCCTTTAGGAAAGAATTTAACTGTCCAGAAATACCTTGGTTTGTTCATCTGTGTTGACTATTCAGGAGAGCAAATGCTTCCTGAATGTCTGAACACACAGGAAGACAGAGGGATGTCAGAGTGGGCTGGGAGGGACATCCTTAATCAGGAAAGGAAGCGGCACGTCACTAGTGTGGACGAAAAGGAAGACATCTGACTTAATTTTTATAATGGGCACTACTGACTTGCGTGTTGGTAACTGACTCACCAGAAGTCTATTCTGCTTCCATTGCCCGGATCTCCGGAATGGGTCTAACCCACCACGGTGTGGCTTGTGGCTTGGCTCTTTCTCATGTAGTGATTAAGTAGGGCTCTAGGTTTAACTGCCACCACACCATTGCCATGGGTGGTCATGGATGGAGAGAACAGACAGCCCTATTTGATAAAAGACTTCCAAGCTGATGTCGAACCAGAAGCCTGTCCAGGGAGTCCACTTAGAAGACAGAGAAATGGAGCTCACCACATGAAAGACTCATCCAAATGATACCCCGCACACCAAGAAACTGAGCGCTCTTTCATCCCAGCTTACAGAGGAAAACAAAAGTCAAGAGCAACTTCTTGGAACAGAGTGGTTTTGACATGGAAATCCTTAAGATGGCAGTAAGACATGCAAGTTTAGTTTCCCTGTGTCTGCTTGTGTGAGGCTAGGGTCTGCCCTCCTTCAGGTCACTGGGAAGGGCCCACAGTCCTGTTCGCAGGCTGTCTCTCTGACAGGACCACCCTGGTGTGGCTGTTGGTTGCATCCCAGGTACAACAGTCAGGCTAAGGGCTGTGTCAGAGCCACCTGGCATCTGTTGATGCAAATCTTTTAGGATTCTGGGTGATGAGTCACTTCTGCTGTTCTTGCTGCTGTCGAGACGAATGTACCTATTGAGCTTTTCTGGAAAATATGCTGGGATCACTTGCCATGGAGCTCTGTCCTCTGCAAAGTCCATGTCCATGATAAGACACCTTCCCAGTCCCCCTGGAGAGGGGGGAGATGATGTGTTTGGAAGTGGTGGGAGGAAGACGTGGTGGGGCATAGTATGGCCCCTTCCCCAATGCTGGGCCTGCCACAGATACAGCTGAACCACTGACTTACCTCGGTAGGGTTGTGCTCTCTTGTTAACAGTCTCTTGGGGGTTACTCATGCCAACCACTTAACTGTCCCAGGGAAGATCCCTCAGTTGACCGTTGACTAAACAAACGCCTAAGGTCTGTGACTGCACACCAGGTGAGGATGGCCTACCAAGGGCCACCAAGATGAATGTGACGACCAGCAGGGCCACTGAGACCACAGAATCCCTGATGCCACAGGAGTAGTTAGAAGTCAGGAGAGATGGAGGGGACTCTCTACACAAGCTACAGGCTAGGTCAGAAGCTGAGGCAGTGTGACGGGGCTTCCATGGTGAGCATGTGTGTGTGTGTGTTTGCGTGTGTGCGTGCGTGCGTGCGTGCGTGTGTGTGTGTGTGTGTGTGTGTGTGTGTGTGTGTGTGTTTGGGGCGGGGGGGATTGGCTATGACGGCAGGATAGGTGATTTCCCAGGCAGACACCTGACGGTGAGAGTCATGCCACTCTGCAGACTCCTGTCTGGCAGCTCAAGTCTTAGGCTAAAACATAAGATGTGTTTCTCTCCACAGTGTTTCACACAAATCAGCTTTTATTGTTCGTATCATTATCTTTTGTCCAAAAAGAGAAAAAGAGAGTTTATTATGATGGCTCAAATCTAGCTTTAATCACGTCTCCTAAAAGATCCTAAAATATTCCTATGCTTCACGCTCCCCTTTTTCCCCACCACCCCAAAATTCTAAGCCAAACGGCAGCAGCAAAACCCTGTGTCCAGGAGCCTCTCATTCCATCAAGCATGTTACATTTCTCACTGGAACATTCTAAAGCTTGGAATCTCCAAGCTGCAGGTGGGTGGGATTTTATTCTTACCATAGAGTAGGTGTGATTTTTATAGGCTCCTAGATCAGAGGCAGAATTGGGCACTTGGGGGGAAGTGAAATACCTGTACTGGGGGAGTCCAGGAGCAAGCCACCAGTCCCTTCTACCATGGTCATTGAGTAGACAAGGTGACCAGCTTCACCGGTGCCGGTCCCTGCTGACCTCTCCCATCAAAGGAGCCACTAACCTAGGCAGGATGGGAAATCTTGCACATGTTCAGGAATATCCTAGTCTAGAGTGATCTGTGTGGTGTGGGAGGTGTAGGATGAGCCAGTCTGTTCAGAGTAACCATCGCTGTTCCCAAGGGGCAGTCCACTAGAAGGAATGTCTCTAAGCGCTGGTGTTGTCCACGCACATGATGCCCCTGTTCTGAGGTGTCAACTCCAAGATGCTCCAAGAACACCTGAACCCTGCCTCGTCTGTGTACTGGGGGGGGGGGGGGGCAGGTATCAGTACCCAGGGCCATGTGCTGACTGTGCTCTAAGGGGCACAAGGTGCCCAGAAGGTCTCTGTGTTCCTGACTCCAACTGGGGATTTGGCCGTAAAGGGATGCAGACGAGCTGTGGGTGTCTGGCTGAACCTGCAATACAAGAGAACTTTGGCAAATAATGTGTTTCCCCACAGGAAAACCAAGACTCTACGGTGCTTGTGACAGCTATGGCTAAGGGGAACTCCATGCCAGTCAGCCAGCTGCGTAGTGTGGTCTCAACAGGAGCACAGAAAAGAAGTCACCTTCCTTCTCCTAGGGTGGGCCTGACATCAGACTCCGGGATGTGCTGATGTTGCGCCAAAGCCCTTCCATGTTTGAAGTGGATGAGACACTGAGACTGGGGGATAAAACAGTTTACCTATGTCGAGGTAGGTCAAGGGGATGTCAGCACAAACCTGTACGGACTTGTAGTTGTGTGGGTCTTAAAAACAACAGAGGACTTTGCATTTTACTTCCATTTTGGAAGAAGTCTGTAGACGGGCGCTACCAAGAAGTGCCAACCTAGTCAGTCCATTCAAAAGTAGCCTTGGCTAGCCCATGACTATAGAGGCAATTTATTCGGGCTAGCTCTAGGACATTGGAGAACTGTATGTGTGTTGGGGGACAGCAGAAGAGTTCTTCGCTTTGCTGCTGCCTCACGCCCACAGGAATCCCCGGGGATCCCCACTCCTGCAGCTCAGGAGGGAGGCTGCTTCCAAACACCGGACCCACAGCCTGTTTCTTACCATACTGCAAGAAACACAATGTCAGTTCCATGACCCCTAAACCCTGGTTATTTGCTAGACTAGAATCCTCTCTGGGAAGTGGTTAATCTCGTGTCAGATACAGAGAAGCAAAAGCTTGGCTTCAAGAGAGACCCGGAGTTCACTGCCCGGGCAGCAGGTGCTCCAGAAGGAACCAGTTCTGGGAGGAGAAGTCCTGGCCACAGTCATTTCTGGGAACAGCCATAGAACTCCCCTGTGGCTGCAGTGGTGGAATGTGGGGCTAGAAGGGAGTTTCCCAGGGGGCTCAGCCCACGTGTAGATGTGTCCCTGCCTCCACAGATGATGCTATACAGACAAGGCCCTAGGGTCTGAGCTTCACTGGGCTCATGTGGCGCTTGAAACCAGGCTGTATGGGAGGCTGCAGCCCGCCCAACATTCTCTTTGCTCAAAGACCTGGGGCCCCAGCCTGGTGCTGTGGGCTCAAGGTCACCCCTCTCCCTCCTCCTGGGAGATGCCCAGCACGGACTTATGGAGGATGCCACACTCCTGCAGGGACTTGGTGAGGTCAGAGAAACGTCTCCTGGGCACCTCCATCGTTTCGATGCTGCAGTGTTGGTAGGTGGCTTTGTTTTTCTGCTCAGCCACTGCGAGGACAGTCTGTAGATTGTCACTGGGCCTGAAGTAGCGCACGAACCTTTGGCCTGAGGGTGACCTGATGGCCAGCAGCAGCCTCGGCTCTTGCTCTGTTGGCTCCTCCATGTTTGAGGACCCAGAGGAACTCTGTCTCTTGGTTCGGATGATGAACTTCTTCTCTAAGGCACAGACCTGGGCTCGGGAATCTTCTTGGCTTGACTTTACAGTGGTGCCGGCCTCCTCCTGGTAAAGGGCCTGCACACTACTCAGCTGCAGAGAACTGGCCTTCCTGGCCACCGTGTCCACAGCCCCATCTTCCAGGCTCCTTCTGTTGATGGAAGGGAGGACTGGGTACTTATTGAGAGATGAGGTGGTGCCGACAAGCACCTGAGGCAGCAGCTCGGGCATCTCATCAGGGGCTCCCGGAGATGGGGAGACGGGTGCACAGCCTCCTGCTTTCTGGCTGCTCGAGGACCCGGAGGAACGTGGTGGAGGCGAAGCGGACAGCGCACTGGGAGAACCGTCACCCACGCCTTGAGGTCTGTGCAGATTCGGCCGCTTCCGGCCCTTGGCGGACTTGGGCCTGATGACGTGCATCCTGAGTGGGCTGGGCTGCCAGATGAAGCTGTCAGCTGAGGTACCGACCACGGTGCTGCGTTCAGGTGGTGCTAGGTTCACAGGGGCTTCTGTGGCCATTGCTTCTCAGGACCCCTAAGGAGGCAGGAGGAAACAGAGAAAGCCAGGGGTTAAGCTCCTGAGACACTGAGACTCACTCTTCTGCCATTTACTGCCCACTGGGTCGGGGGCGGGCGGGGGGGGGGGGGGGTAAGCATCAATGGGCCAGAGTATGGGACCATTCTCTGAGTTTCTGACATCTGAAGAGGGGGGGCAGCTGTGACTCACTCATTCACTACAGGTTCTTGGAACAGATCAGTGAACCAAAATCCTTGGAACGTAAATTATTAAAGTGAGGAGAGCAACGGGTGAAATCCACAAGTCTGTAGATATTTTCAAGGAGTGATAAGAAAAGAAGACATGGGCTGGAGAGATGGCTCAGTGGTTAAGAGCACCGACTGCTCTTCCAGAGGTCCTGAGTTCAATTCCCAGCAACCACATAGTGGCTCACAACCATCTAGTAACCACATAGTGGCTCACAACCATCTAGTAACCACATGGTGGCTCACAACCACTTGTAATGAGATCTGGTGCCCTCTTCTGGCCTGCAGGGACACATGCAGGCAGAACACTGTATACATAATAAATAAATCTTTAAAAAAAAAAAAGAAAAGAAAGAAAAGGAAAAAAAAAGAAAAGAAAAGAAGACATGACCCAGAATGACTGAGGCAAGGGACTAATTCTCACTCTCATGGAGAAGGGCCAGTGAGCAGAAAGACCACCCCGAGAGAACAAGCCACATGACAAACCAGAGTCCAGGTCAGATGACTTTTTCCATAGATATGTTTGCAACGACTGAGTTCTGTCTGCGGTGCGGGCACAAGACCAGCGTGACAGCACACTCAATGGGGGGTGCTGTGTTCCGGTGAAGTTTGACTGGGCCCCAACACAGAAAAGTGTCCAGGGGGACAAAAGGGCCCTGGTGACTTCCTACAGCAACCAGAGTGAACCAAGCTTCCAAGTCCTGGCTGGCTCTCAGGGCGGGAAGCTCTCTTAGGGAGTGGCCGGCACAGACCTCAGATGCAGAGGCTGGAATGTTAGGGGTGGTTGGCTGCCTTTGCTCAGAGAGGGAAGGGAACCCTGTTAGGACACTCAACAGCAGGTCACTTCTCTCTACCAGGGACACTGTCTGCCCTGACATTCCCTGTGGACGCGACACCCTCTGGAATTCCCAGTCTCCCTCTGCTGCAGGCCTCCCTCGGCTCTCCCTCCCTCTCAGTCCACAGTTAGCCTTTACTTTGTTTCCCTCCTCATCTTGCCTTCCTCACTTGTGCTCCACACAAGTCACGTGGCACATGGCTCCCCAGCTTGGCTGGGTGGCAGGGAGAACAGGGGCTGCCCTGATCACCTGCTAGAACTCACAGGAGATGCTCAGACTCTGGACAAGGGGTTGGCTAGCTTCCCCATGAAGACCTAGTGAGCATCTACTTTGACTTTTCAGTCTGGGGCGACCAGGCAGCTCTGCCTCCGCAGGACAGTCCTGGGCAGGATCAGATGGACGGGTGTGGCTTTGCTTTGGCTGTACGCCTGTCTTGTGCTTCTTTCTGTTACTCTAGAGCGAAGCTTTCCCTGTTTCTCTTCAACAGGAATGTTCAACTTTTGACGCTGCAATATGACATTATCAGGCCACATTCATTGGACACGTGGCTTCACATGCCAGCTGTAGAGCGTACCCCGATGGTATTATTGGTAATGGCTGCTCTCCTACTCTCCTACTCTGTGCTAACCAGCTGGGAGACCCCAGCCCCCAAACCTACCCTCTCCACTCCTCCTATGCAGTTTCCTCAAAACTAGAAAACCTTTCCTGAGTCAATCGTTCCTTCCAATGGCACGTTTTCACTTAGCTCAGACCTACTTCCCCCAAGCTCCTCCCATAACCAGTCCTCAACAGGGCTGTGCCAAGTCCTTGGGCTTAGATGTGACCCTTGCTGCTCTATGCCAGTTCTCTACCAAACCACGAGGAACCAAAATCAGGCTACCTCTAAATATCCTGGCAGCCTGCTGTTCGGAATCTCAGGCAAGGTTCCCTTCCCTTTCATATTTTAATTGTCTTTTCCCGTTTGCCACATGTGTGTGTATATGTGTGTGTTGCATATTTGTGCACACGTGTGTTTGCAAGTACACATGCACACATGGAGGCCCAGGGTTGACGCCAGTGAAAAGCATCCTCCATTGCTCTTACACCTTATTCACTGAGGAGGGATCTCTCAGTCAAACCCAAAGCTCACCCATATGGTCAGTCTTGCTAGATTGCTCTGGGGATTCTGTCTCTGCCTTCCAGGGCTGGGATTATAAGTGAGCTGCCACACCCATCAGGCATGTACATGGGTTATGGAGATCCAAATTCTGGTCCTCGGGGAGGTGCTTTAACCACTGAGCCATCCTCTCAGCCCCCTTTCACGGTTTAAGCGGCTCTGTGGTTGTCCCATTCTATACACAACCCAAACCTTCCTCCATTTCCCTTCTCCATCCTCCATGCCCATTCTGGCAGCAGGCAGTCCAGAGACTTCTGCCTGAGCAAAAAGTTTTGGCGTCAGAAATACATCCCCATCTCCTTGTCCGCTTCATTTATTTTCTGATCAACTATGAAGAACATTTTTCCCTATGAGTTTCTTGCTCAGAGTGGCAGGAGGAAGCTGTAGCTGTCCAGCTGAGCCGACGAAGGTTAGCTCCTCACTTGGGCTCAGCTATTAATTTGCCACAGCTTCTACAGAATTATCGCAGGCTTGGCTTCCAACACCCACACATGCCTGGGGAAGGTTTGACTGTCGGGAAGTTTGGTAACTTAGAAACCTCTCCTAACAACTTTGATGAGGAGAGTCATGTGTTCTCACAGGCGCTCTGCTGGGTTATTTTTAACAGTCAAACTTGAGTGTGTGCATGAAGTTGCTATACCTCTTGGTACTCTATATAATTAGCCATGTTCAGGGGGTGTCATAGTCAAGACACCCTGGCCATAAGATAACATGACTGCAAGCTATCTCAAGAGGAAAAAAAAAAACCTCAATTATGACTAATTCTCATAAGCCCACTCATGGTTATTTAGAGAGTAACACCTCCTTCAGGTAAAACCGTTCCATCCAACCTGCTTTTATAACCCACTGCCTCCTCCCCAGTGCAGAGACCATCTGTTACATGGAGGGAACACCAGCTCCCACCCCCACCCAGAACAAGGGCAGGATGCTGCGGGAAACAGGTGTTTGGAGAACTGTATCCATGGAGCCCTTACAGTCAAACCCCGGGTCCCCAACTCTGCCTGTGCCCTCAGTCCAGGCTTCTACGACAGCATAATCCTGGCTTGGCTCATTTCGCCACCTCTAGGTCTGGCAGACACTCAACCACAAAATGATTTGACAAGATCTAGGCGTAGGCATCCATCCATCCGTCAGGCTGCCAGCAGGAGAGGCAAGTGGCCTGTTTACTTAAACACAATAGCTAGGAGGCAGAGGTCTGCTAGGAGGCAGGAAACAAAACACTAGGCACCACTTCCAAGACATTGCCAGGAGGGCAGGTGCCCATTCCTTAGGATTATCACCACACAAACAGGAAGGAAGGGGCACTGGCTGGAAAATAAACCAAGATTCCTGTTGTTTTCCAATGGTGCCCACAAGCCACCAAGGGGTCAGATCACATTACTTCACAGCCCAAATCTAAACCTACAGCCAAAGCAGCAAAATATAACCACCTACAAACCATCTGCTACCATATACCAGGACACATCCATGTGCATTGGTCTTTTAAAATTGTTTATCAGTTACTACCGCCCCCCTGCTGCCACCCCCTAGTCCCCAGCCTGGCTTACAAAATTAAACTATGTAAAGGAACCACCCCGGGGATGGAGAGAGCCAAGATTGACACCATTCCCAGTGCTACTCCAAACCAGAGATTAGGATGCGGGAAACCACAAGCCACCAAGTGAGGGAAGCTTTGCGAAGGGAACTAGGGTCGACTCCAGGATAGAAGGGCGGGCGAGGGGATGGGGCTGAGGCTTCTATTACTTCCACGGTCCGTCAGGCCTAGAAGCAAAGTTCAAAGTGCAGAATCGGGGTGTCAGGGAATGGCAGGAAGGGCTGGAGCATGAGGGCAGACTTGGGGAAAGAGCATGGAACTGCGGGAGGCTCCCTCCAGCTCCGGCCTCTGCACATGACCCCGATCCCCTTGTCTCTCTCTGGATCTGCGTCCAGGGACTGACTGGCTGGTATATGCCCCTCCCAGAGGGCTCCTTGGCTGCTGCAGACTCAGGCTCCGGCCAGGTTGGCTCTGCCTCTGGGGAAGTCCTTTCAAAAGGCCTGGCTCTCAGTTTCTGGGGACCCACAGTGGGTCTCTCACCTCGCAGCTCAGCTCCATCCGCCTCCTGTGCCTGGCTGCGACCAGCTGGTAAACAGCCCCGTCTCCGTGGCAACCGCCGAGGGGTGGGGCGCCACGTGCTTCCGGTGGGATCCGGAACCTGCCTGGCCTGGGCCGGCCTGCGTAAACTAAGTTGGACGAGCCAGGGCTCAGAGAGCAGGGGGCCTGCAGTCCCTGGTTCAAGGATTCCAGACGCAGGTCCTTGGTGTGGCCCTGCCCCATGGAGGCCACAGGGCCCTGGGCCTGGGCCTCTGACACCTTCTCTCCTCTTCCTGACCTGGCCTGACTCTCTGGGGAGAGTGCGTTCATGGGAAAGGGAACCTTGCCCTGGGGTGGGGGTGGGGTGGGGACCAGCATCAAATCCCTGTCTGTCGCTGGCCTGAACCTGTCAGTGTCCTCATTTTAAAACGGGTGTGGGACTCATTCCTGAACCCCTTAGAGTCCGAGTGTGATTTTTTGTTTTCATTTTTTTTTTAGGGTATATCGTCATGGGGGAGTAAGAGACTACCCACTCCCACTCTGGGGACACTCTGGGTTTTGTGATCACCCCCCCCCCCATCTCCTTTAAGGGTCTAACTACACGGTCAGCAGCTCCAGCCACTTTACCTTGTTTTCCAACAGCCTTGAGATTCGGAGTCCCGCAGCCTGTCTCCTTTCCCTCCACCCTGCTCAGAAGCTATGGTCCACTACCTCAGCCATTCTGTTGGTAAGAGTCCCCCTTACCCTACTGTCCTTCCATCCCATTCATGTGAATGGAGCCTTAGCTGGAATCTGTCCACCCACACCAAGCACTAAAGATATCATGGCAAGTCACCCAAATGGATTTCAGGGCACTTGTGTGGTCTCCAACATCAGTCAGACCCTCAGCCCTCCCTGGCCAGCCTTCTGTCTGCTCTCCTCAGTCTTCTGCCCTCTCCAATGGCTATTCCAAATCTTGCCTTTCCTCCAAACACTCCCCGCTTTCCGCCTTCCCTCCTCCCTCTGGGATGATATTCTCCTACCCTCTGTCGAGAAAAACAGAAATCATCGATGGAAGCCTTCATAGCTGTCTGCTGTCAGACCTGCAAGCCCCCTGCCTCTGCATCCTTGCTCTCTTGCCTCTGGCCTGTTGGAGTGGAAAGGGGCTGACTTCTGACTCTGTCCCCTCTTGACTGCCTCTATGGTGCTCCGCTGGTTCCCGACCATGGCCACACCTACACGCGCCCTCCCTAGGCTCAACACCCTTGCTCTGTTGAACCCTTGGCTTGAAGATTCTTCCCCAGCCTGCCCTGTCCCTTCATTTGCCCAATTCCTCCCTGTCTTTGTTCCAATCTAATGAAGTCTTCCTTCCAAGCTGGCTTTAAAGGGAGTCCCAAGCGGACTGTGCTCCAGACCCTCAGGGTAACTTAGTGCTCGAACTGCTAGAAGTTACTAGTAGACAGTCAGGAACCACAGATTCATTACTTAACAGTATGGCCACATATTTGCTACCTGCTTTGTCCTGCATGTATAGGGGTGGGATTTTGATAGGAGTACAACTCGAAACCCTTGTCAGCACATTCACAGTTGGGTCAGAAAGACACATTGTTCGCTGATGGTTATAAATAATACTACTTTCAGTATAGTTTGAGCCAAGGGTAGGAGAGCAGACATAAGCTGGATGGGATTACATATGATGAGATTGGTACCAATGGCACATTTTATTAGGAGCTGGCAGGCAGGGGTTCATTTCAGCGATGGACTGTTAGCCCATCTCAGAGAGGATGCTGCTGACCTTGGTAGAGAACTTAGCCTAGGATGAGGGCCTGGGCTAGGCTGGCCTCCTTTCTGGGAATTCTGTCTCTGGATATCCAGGAGGCATCATGGCCCCGGAGAGGTACCGCTGGCAGTTTTAGAAGCTGGTGGTTTCACATGGTGGTGTCGCTGGCTTACATCTCGTTAATGATCCTGTCAGAAGTCTCCAGGCGATGCTCTTCAGCCCTTCGGCGCCCACTCAGAAGAGATTAAAGTAGATCCTTCGCCAGCTATTTTAATATCACCTAAGAATTATGCAACCCTTTGGGAGTGGCATCAGTTTCAATCCGTGGTTCCCCCACTGTGTGCGAGCGAGGTGCGTGTGCTCTTGCTGGAGCATGGTGAGATGCTGGTTATGCCTGGGGTCCGTTTCGTGTTCAGCAGCACATAAGTCTTTGTTCTCTGGCATGGTGTGATGCAGCCCTGTGGGAAAGAGACAGCCAGCTAGTCCCTCTCTTTATCTCCTGACCTGCACCAGAGAGCATCTTCAAAGAACATCCCTCTGATGCCTGGGCTGAACATGCACACACATCCACTAAATTCTCAGGAAAATGGCTGGAGGCCGTACTCCCGTCTGCTAATGCGAGGACCCATCTTCCTTTGTACCATGCCTCCACTCCCCAGCTCTCTCCTGGACTCTAGCCAGCTTGTCCCCCAAATGGGCCCTTGGCGTTTTCATCTCCAGTGCCTGGTTCGCATCTGTCCTACCTTCTCCCTCTTCAAAGTGAATCCAAACTGCTTGATACTTCAAGGCCCGTCTTAAAAGTCACCTGTTCTATAAAGTCCTTTCCTGACCATGTCCCCCCCCCCATGCAGTATTTTAGTTCCTTCTGGTCTGTGATAACATGCCCAATTATAATCTGGTAACAAGGCCAACAGGCTGCATGGCTCTGCATAGCTCCTGAGAAATCAGCTTCCTGAGAGACCTTCAGCAGAGAAGTTTCTGGAGAATAAAATGGAGCCACTGATGTACTGTACTGTTTCATTGCTTCCTGCATCTCATTGGAACATGTCCAAGTGTGTATTGACACTTCTTGTCTTGTTAGAATATATGGAACTGTCACTCACCTTGGCCCCATGTTGACCAAATGGTTTTACACCAAGAGCGTCTAGATCTTGCTGGCGCCGCAGAAGACAAAGGTCATTGACTCCACAGACGGGAAGCTCGGGGTCCTGGGGCTTAGATTCGCTGACAGGAAATATTGGGAGAGCTCCAACTCTCTTTGGCATGGACTCAGAGTTCACGGCTCTCTACTGATGCTGCCTCTTGTGGAATGCCAAAGTCAGCAGCTGGGCTGGGCTGCGATACAGTTGATGAAGTCAAGGCCCATGTGGGGCTCTTGGTCTATGCCTAGTCTCTGTTTACCTGTAGTCAGCTCGGCAGCCTCCTTTGGACCTCCCTTGGATCTTCTCATTAGCTGAGTACACAGTTGGTACTTCAGCTGGATTTCATTACCAGGCACACACCCTAGGCCCCTTTGTATCTGGAGTCTCATCACCCTGCTGCTTCAAAAGATGTGAGTCCTTTCTTTGTAGCTCCAACCTGGGCCTGGTTTTGTCAGGTTCCCATAGAGACAGAACCTAATTAGAAAAACTTGTACAGCTGTTGAAATGATGATTGGCCAGGACCAGCCTGGTCAGGGTCCAGCCTCTCGGCATCCACCAGTTGTACCAAAGAAGGCCAAGCAGCTTGGACACCAGGTGGGCTCTCACAGGGCTCTTGCGGTAGGACTGACATTTTGAAGTCTTCCTGGGAAAGTTCACCACTGCATGAAAACTTCTCTGAGGCTTTGGACCTGCCAGAGTCTCTCCAGGCTCTGCTGAGCTATTGTTTCCTCGCCCAGACTCCTCACAGTCTGATGCAGCCTGATGTCTGTCTCATGGGGCTGGTGGAGAATACTTGAACTGAAAGAAAGCTGATCGTGGAGCCACTCCATGAAGGGACAGGCACCCACACACATTCCCCCCTGCCCCACTGCCCTGTGGGCTGCTGACTCCTCCAAAAATAAAAACAACCAGAGTGATAGTGTTGCCAAAGAAAGAAAGACACCATTAGTGTTCACCATTTCCAAACGGTTGAGCCGTTCTTACATTTTACATCTGGGTCAAAGTGCCAGGACGGGTGGCATAGTCAGACGTCACTAGGTCTGGCAAAGATCCCTTGGAGCCCTGTGCTGAGGGTATCCAAAGGCCTTGGCTGTATTGGTGGTTTGTACTTTTCCTTTACTTCCTCCCCCAAAAGGAGCTGAACTGGCAGATGAAGGTGGAACCCTGGCACCCTGGACCTCCTGGTCTCTTTGGGAATGAAGGTCATTGCTGTATTCATCGTCTTTATCTTCTGCTGTAAGTATAAGCCATCTGAGTGAGTGTCGGGAGGCCATCTTTCTGACTGTGTCTTAGGTGGCATTGAGGGAAGGTAGGGTACAAGGCCCTCAGGAGAGAACCAGGCTCCCTCCAGAGTTCTCCTACCTCTGGTTCTGCTGTCTGATGGGCTGGTCACGGTGTTGGGCCCTCACAGAACATTTTGGAATCCAAGGACATGGACCACATACTGGAAAAATGATGTTTAGCTGTGGGCTCAGCACTCCTGGTCTGGAAGGCTTTCTTCCTTCCCATTCTGGTAACCTTTATTTAAAGCTGTGTGTGCTGCCGTATAAAACGGTGGGCATGATTCCAGCCAGCTGGAGTAATTCTTCTGGTGAAGGCATCCTGATGATGTCTAGTGACTACTTAGTCAAACTGAGTCACTGCTACTGGGGCTTTGGATTGTGTACCTCTGCAAGTGAAGTGTGCAATCTGAAGGGTTTCCTGGGGCCCGTCAGAGGGCTGTTAAACAAACAAACAAACAAACAAACAAAAAACGCCTCAGTCTTTTGCTGATAGCCTGTGTTAGCTGTTGGTCCAAAACCAATTTCCTGCTGTTTCAGCCACGCTGCAGTGACTCGGGTTCTGTAAGTCAGTCATATCAAAATTAGGTCTCCCTCTTTCTCCAAGTTGCTAATGAGCTTTGCAGTTTTCAAAATCATGCCCAATGTGTAATCTCGGTGCTTGGGAAGTGGAGGCAGGAGGATTGAGAAATCAGGTCAAGGCATCTAACTCAGCACTGAGGTGGGAGGGCGCTTGAGAAAACCTCCCGTCACTCTGACTGTTTTCCTTCTTTGAGTTCGTGCTTTTGCTGTGTTTTTAGCACAAACCACATATATGCTTATAATTTAAAAGATCAAATGCAGGGCTAGGGACGTAGCTCAGTGGGTAGAGCACTTGCCTACCATACACAAAAACCTGTATTCAATCCCCAACGCTGTATAAAGCCAGGCAGGATGGCACAAGCCTGTAATCAGAGGTGGAGGCAGGAGAGTTGGAAGTTCGAGGTCATCCTTGACTACATATGAGTTTGAGGCCAGATTGGGTCACATAAGTTTTCAGTTGGTCACAAAACAAAACCATAAAATATATAGTAACAAAGGTACAGCCTTCTCTGGGACTAGTACTTTTCTGCACCTAGATACAACTGCTCTGTTCTGGAGACTCTAGAGGACATTCCTCTAAGCACCCCATCACCACCACCATGCACACACTCAAAATACTGTAACAAAATAATACATGTGTCTTAATCACTGTTCTATTGCTGTGAAGAGACACCATACCAAGGCAACTCTTGTAAAGGGAAGCATTTAACCAGAGGCTTGTTTACAACTTCAGAGGCTTAGTCCATTATCATCATGGCAGGGAGCATGGCAGCATGCAGACAGGCAGACACAGTGCTGGAGAAATGGTTGAGAGCTACATCCTGATCTGCAGGCAGAGAAAGAGGGGCCAGGCCTGGTGTGGGCTTTTGAAACCTCAAAGCTCATCCTCAGTGACACACTTCATCCAGCAAGGCCACCTAATCCTTCTCTAACAGTTCCACTCCCTGGTGACCATGCATTCAAACATATGAGCCTATGGGACCATTCTTAATCAAACCACCACAATGTGCTTGTGAAAAAGGTACATGGAAGTATGCTAAACGAATGTGGCCTGATTCTTTCTCCATCTGCCTCAATCTCACTGTCCGGAGCTGAGCTATTACAAGTGGTACATTCCTAAGACATACGCTTTGATGGCCATCCTCATGTGGTACATGCTTTCCAGTGCTCTGCTCTGGAGACTCTAGAGGACACGCCAGCAACCACCCTTCTGTATGCATTTCTGTGTGTGTGTCTGTAAGCAGTTTATAGAAGTAAAAAGGTCTACTGTTGAACTCCTGTAATTCCAGCACCTCGAAGGCAGAGAGGAGAGGATCTCCCCAGGTTCAAGGCCAGCCTGGTCTCTACAGGGACTTCCAGGCCAGCCAGGGTTATGTAGTAAGAGAAGACCCTGTCTATTAAAATTAATAAGAATTCATGGGTCTGTGTGTTTGTGCCATTTTACAGACTGGATCAAAGGTGTTTTTCTGATTTCCTAGCCCCGGGTTTTGCTTCTCCTGGGAGACTGTAAATGCCTGATGCTGCCTAGAGGGAGGGCTGACTTTGAGCTTTCCCAGTTAATGTTGGTCAGACATGGATGGTGGTGGAGCACCATTGACAACTGGGGAGCCTGGGCCTCCTCCTGGTTATCGAGACACTTTCTGAGTGATGGAGTAACACTGATCCTGTTTTTCTACCCTGTGAAGGAGGTCCACCTTGTGCAAGGGCTCTGTGCTGCCCACTGCAAGCACTCCAGCGAGGCCTGTGGGTCCTCAGGCTGCTCTCCTTTGTTGCTTTCTCCTTGGCAGGGACAACCTCCACCCTCAGCAGCTTCTGGCAATTCCAGAGGATGGTCAAACACATCACAGGGCGCAGCGCCTTCTTCTCCTATTACGGATACGGCTGCTACTGTGGGCTTGGGGGCAGAGGAGTCCCTGTGGATGCCACAGACAGGTGATGCGCAGGTTCTAGCCTAGCCCCTTACTGCATTTGTGTTAAAGTCCAGGCTTCTGGCCGGGAGAGAGGGGGGTAGGAATCCTGAAGAAACAATCCCAAGGCAGCATGAGACTGAAAAGGGGTTGCAGGGTGAGTCTTGGGGAAGCCAGAACTGAATCACCTTTCCCTGTTGGACCTGAGTAACTGCCCAGGGCCCTGTATGCCTAAGGTCCTGGGTATGGCTTGTGTGCTGACCACCTTGAGACAGGGTCTTAGCTCCTAGCTCATGCTAGCCTCGAACTTACTACATAGTCCAGGTTGGACTTGAACTCTGGAGCCTCCTGCCTCTGCCTCCCAAGTGTTCAGATTCTAGGCATGTGCCACCATGTGCTACTGAAACCCAGAACCCCATCCCTGCTGGACAGCCATACCACTGAGATACACCCCAGGTCCATCCTGATATTCTCAATCAAGGGCCCTAACCTTACACAGTACAAGCCGAGATCTGGAAGCCTTTCCCATTCACCTGGCAAAGGTACTCTTTGTTCCCATGCTCCCGTTTTTTTGTTTTTTGTTTTGTTTTTTTGTTTTTTTGTTTTTTTTTTGGATTGTGGACCCAGTAAGACTGCCCTGCCAGCTCCCAGACCTAATTCCATATTTTAGGAGAGAAGCCAAGTGGCCCAGTTCGAAAAAGTTGTCCATCTGGAGGCAGTCACACAGTACGAAGTTGGCTTCCAGGACAGCTCTAAGGATTTGGGGGTGGGTGGTGTGGGCTTCTATAAAAAGTGGACGTTACTGTAATCTGGAGGGGGCACAGTGGGGAGACTGGATAGTGTGTGTCTTTTCCCATTTGAAGGAATAAGAAGGGAAATATCCCTTACAGCAGGGTCTAATATATGGAACTTGAGCCCCAGGCTTAGCTGTGGAGACATGGAAGGCCACTGGCCCCTGTGAGATGCACAGTATGTGCCCAACACTGAACAGGTCATCTACACATGAGCCTCAACCCTCACAGTAAATATCGGAGGAGCATCCCCACTGTAACCCACCTTAGAGCTGAGGTGGATTCACAGAGAGGATCCCAGACTAAGAGTTGCCCAGCCTTAGCTGGGCATTGGTGGCTCATACCTTCAATCCTAGCACTCAGAAAGAAGACAGAGGCAAATAGATCTCTGTGAGTTCCAGGACAGCCTGGTCTACAAAGGGAGTTCCAGGACAGCCCAGGCTACACAGAGAAACCCTGTCTCGAAAAACCAAAAGAAAGAAAGAAAAAAAAAAGAGTTGCTCAGCCACCATCACCCCCAGGCAAAGCGGCAGAGCCTGGCCTGGAACACAGATCCGCTCATTTCTGAATCCACCTCCTGTCTCCACCCACCTGTGCTTTGCCTGCTGGAGCCCAAAGTTAGATCCCAAACCGTACACCATTAGCCCAGGGCCACGAAGGGCCAAGAGCCCATGTACACATGGAAACGTCCAGTAAAGGACAAGTGTATCAGTAACTCACCTCCCCAGCTCCGGTGCCTTTAGGCCCAGGGAAGCCAGGGAAGCTGGAAGTCCCAGCTGGCAGCCTGTGTCCTCTCACTGACTCCCCCCGGGGACAGCCACACACAGGTGTAGTCCCTCCTCACCTTCCTCTCCCCACCCCCAGGTGCTGCTGGGCTCATGACTGCTGTTACCACAGTCTGAAGGAGGATGGCTGCCAGCCAATCTTGAATGGCTACCAGTTCAGCATTGTCAACGGGACTGTGGCCTGTGAGTAGCCTTCCCTGTAGGGAGACGGTGTGACCTGGGCTGAGTCACTTCATTAACCCACTGATCGTTTTAGGGAAGGAGACTTTCCCAAGTGCTTTGAGAGCAAGGAAGGGGGCATGTCTGAGAGTCAGAGCTTCTTGGAGAGAGTCTTTGCACAGTATCGCCTGCTCTCTCCTGCCTGCCACTGAATCTCAGCTCTAACCGGGGAGCCAGAGCCCGCCCTACACTATGGGCCGGTAAAGAGTTGTTGGCTGTGGAGTCCATTGACTTTGCGGTTTCCCTAGGCAGCGCTGGCTGTTGAGAGCATTCCTCCCTACCCCACCCACCCAGTTTTCAGATGTGTGTGCTATGCATGTGTGTATGTTTTTGTACGTGTGTTGGTGTACTTGGAGGTGGGCACACGCAGGTGGAGGTTTGAGGTTGATGTTAGGGTTCATCCTCTGTCACTCTTGTACCTTATTCATTGAGTCAGAGTGTCTCAGGCAAACCCTCAGCTGGCTGATGATCTTACTGTGGGGATCCTGTCTCTGCCTGCAGGGGCTCCAGACCCACCCAGCATTTGGTTTCTGGGTGTCTGAACTCTGGTCCTCCCAAGTGCATTAACCACTGAATTATCACTCCAGCCCCCACCCCTTTTTTGTCACGTGTTAACAAGGCTTTGTGGCTGTCATTCCGTTGAACAAATATTTGCTAAGGGCGACTGCGTGTTGTGCACTGTAACCACGGTGGATAGGGACAGAAAGGTGACTGGGAGTGGGACACTGTGCAGAAGGGAAGAGGGAGAGATTGGGTGGGCAAGTGCACAGAATGTCTGCTCAAAAGGAGTGTGTCCTGGAGCTAAGGGTGTGGGCATGTGGAGCCCAAGTCTAACCTATGGGGCGTGAGGGCTGTGGGCATGAACCTTTGCCCAGCTGTGTAATTCCAGCCCAGTAGGTGGTTTCTTGCTCCTCACATGCCACAGCTGAACTCCCACCAAGCCTTAGGGCATCGTGAGCCACTTCCTCCCGGGTATATCACAGCTGTGTTTCTGGGCAGCCATCTGCCTCCTCCGAGGTCAGAGAACTATCATTTGCCCCTGATTCGTCTCCCAGGATGGAGGACTTAGGACTCCACACTGGGAATCATGTGCCACAGCACTCCACCCAGAGCTGTAGCACAAGACACAGGAAACCCCAGAGTCGGGACTGAGTTTTCTCCCTGGCTTCCACTGTGAGACTGGAAATGTGGCGGGCTGGGGGCTCAGACCCCCACAATAGAAGATTGCCTTCAGTTCAGTCTGCCTACTCTACAGGCCTGCATGGCTGGCAGAGGGACCTCGCACATCAAGAGAACCTTTGCCACTGAGGCCTGGGCCAACCCTCTGCCCTTCCTTCACTCCCTGGCTGACCAGAAGAGGGAGGATAGACCTGGAAACTGTGCCTCCCAGCCCAGAACTCCAGAAGATGGGAAGAGTGAAGGAAGGTATCTTGAGACAGACTAAGACCACAGAAGATGACATGTCCTCTGCTCGGCACTTGTTAACTCTCGGCAGGAGACAGAGGCAGGACCTGGGAGCTGGTGTCCATGGGTGAGCTTCCCCACATGCAGCCATGAGCTTTGGAGGAAGAGGAGACTTCCACAATTACCTAGGGCATCGGTGTCACCCTCCAAGGAGCCCAGAACTGTAGGGCCTGGGTTCTGGTGTGGAGCCTGCTGCTGCTGTTGGCTGACACACAGACACATCCGCCCATGCACCCTTTAGTGGCTGAGCACCCACTGTCACTGTGGTCCCAAAGCCAGACCCGGAGTGAGGCCAGCCCAGTGTCCGCTCTCCGAAGATCAATAGCTTAAGAGATCTCCAGAGCAGAAAACACGTTGGAGACTATCCCAGCCAACCCCTCACTGATGCTCTGGGAAGGCTGAGGCCCACAGAAGGGAGGGGCTTGATCCAGGTGAGTGACAGGCAAAACCGGGACTTGCATGCAGAACTTCCTGCCTGGCTTGAGCTGTCTGGGCCTCGGTCCTCTCACTCATCAAGCGAGAGCAGCAGCTACAGCGGTGTACAGCTGACTGGCTGCTCTGCACGCCTCCAGGGTAGACCTCTGGCTGTAGGCACTTTTCCCCCCATTATTGCTTAGTACATCAAGGCTCAGAGAGGTCAAGTGGATGTCCAAGGTCACACAGCCAGGGACTAAGGGGAAGGCTTCTACTTGAGGGGAGGTTATTCCCCAAATGCAAGTCTCATGACCTCTAACAACTGATGAGATGCTCTGCCCTGGCTGGAGGAGCGTAGTGAATGGACCTTGGTCTAACCAAATATCCCAGATCTTTTCATTTGTTCCTGGCAAGGGGCCTCAGCTTTCCAGCCCAGCCTCAGTCTCCTCATCCGTGGAAAGGGTGGAATCACTCACACTGCACGAGGTTGCTGGGTGGTGGGCAAGAGTGACCCCTCTTGTGACCCCCTGGAGGGGCTGGCCCCACTGCAGGTGTTTAGTTAGTGTCCGCCATTTGGATGTGGGAATTTCTGGTTTGGCCCGGCTTGGCTTTTTACTTTGCTGGGGAACACCAGGACTGTTTTTTGTAATTTTTTAATTTTATGTGTGTAAGTGTTTTGGCTGCATGTATGTCTGTGCACCATATGCATGCAGTACCAGAAGAAGCTAGAAGAGGGCGTCAGGTGCCCTGAAACTGGAGTTACAGACAATTGTGAGTACTGGGAATTGAACCCAGGTCCTCTGGAAGAGCAGCAGGTACTCATAACCACCAAGCCATCTCTCCAGCCCATCCTCCCCTCGTCATTCCTTTGCAGTTTGCCCTGTATAGCCCCCTCTGGGGCTAACGTCATTACTGTGACCCTTATGGAATTAAGCCTCCTCTGTGCCCAGGCCACACTGCAGTTCAAAGAGCTGCGCTGGAAGAGTTAATGCCTCCAACGGTTCTAAAATCCGGTCCCCAAGCCTGGTCCCAGGTTGCCTAGCAACCAGTGTGGGACAAACTTTGGGGAGGGTGTGGTGGGTTAGTGGGGAGTGGGGGCAGGGGGAGGAGCGTGGTGTCCACAGCTTGAAATGCCACCCAGATACCAGTACTCAACAAAGTCTCTGAAGGAGCTCAAGGGACAGTTTTCTGGAAGCGGACAGCTGCCCTGGCATGGTTGACCAGGTGGTTGCCCCTCCTCTGAGGAGGTTTATATAAGCATTCACAAGGGACTTGAAGATCAGCGCAGTGACACCCCCGTCTGCTCTCCCTGTGGGGGAGAGACTGGTTCCAGCCACTGTACCATGTCACCTGTTGTCACCTGCGGCTGCAGGCCTTTGACTCCTCCCTCCCCCTGGAGATGGGGAGGCAGAAGTGGTAACTTCTAGAAGTTTAGTTTGCAAAGACCTTTCTCATTACTGGAGCGTTCCTCACACCAGCTTCTCCTGCCTGCTCCACACCTCTTTCCTCTCCTAGTGTTCATCGCATCTTGACATTTCCTGTACCTTCTTTGTCTACTTGTGCAGTGGCCCCCACCTCCCTGCTAGAGTGTAAGTTACCTGAGAGCTGTGTGTTCACTGCTTTACCGATGGCCTTGACAAAACACCCAATGTCACCGACTTAAAGGAAGAAAGGTTTAACTGGACTCCCAGGTTCTGGGAGTTCAGCCGTTGTTGGCCACGTGCCTCTGAGCAGAAGTGGTGGCGGAGTACTGTGGTGTATGGCAGAGGAGGTTCTTAACCTCATGACAGACAGCAGGAGACATACAGAGGACAACCCACAGGCCCCAAAGACTTGCTGACAGTGACCTCTTTCCTTCAACTAGAACACCTCCCTGCCACCGCCAGCTGCAACCTCCATCACTTTCCAAAGTGGTACTGTCAGCCAAGGACCCAAACCTTCAACGCACAGGCCTATATATATATACTCGGTCCATAGCACTGTGCCTTTGCCCACAAGCCTCATGGTCATCTTATGTTGCAAAATGCATTTAGCTCATCTCCAAGATCTCTCAAGCTTGTTTTCTGTATTAATCAGGTTTTTCCATTGGTGTGACCCGAGAGAACAATTTAAAAGTCATCAAGGATTGATTTTTGCTCAGTTTCACAGATCTGAGTCCATTGTCCTTGGTTTTGTGGACCAGTGAAGTGGATCATGATGGTGGTGAGAACATGTAGTAGAGACTACTCATCTCAGGGCAGATAGGATGCCATGAAGAAAGGCCAGGACCAAATGCAGCCTTCAGAATCACCCTCCAATGACCTACCTCCTCCAGTGAGGCCCCACCTCCTAAAGTTTCCACTATTTCCCCCAAATAATGCCACCTTCTGGGGACCAGTATTTAATGCACGAGTCTGTGGGGAATACCTCACATTCACACATAACAAGGAGTAAGCCTGTCTTGTTACGGGGAACTCATTCTCGGGCCCATATGGAATAGTACTCTTGGAACAATGCAATCTGGAGGTGCGCTTGCTGATGTCTTTACCCCAGTTTCTAGACAAAGGCAGGTCATGTGCTAGGAGCTTAATATCTGTTTGTTTAAAGAGTGGATGAGTGAAAAATCTCATTAAATAGGCATTTCTGGCATATTGATCTCATTTAAAAGCTGAGGAGATGGGCTTTGAGAGGGGAAGCAGCTTGCCTAAGATAAAGTGTGTTAGTTACAGACTTGGGTCTAGAACTTGGCTTCCAGGGTCCCAGGACGGGCACCTTTCTGTGGTCCCCATAAGTGCAGTTGTTAGAGGCTTTAGCAAATGGTGATGGAGCTTTGACCAACACTAGGGCTGGAGATCAACAATGAGCAAGACACAGGCTCTGACTTGAAGGAGCTTACAATCCAGTAAGGGAGAGCCCATTATAGCGACAGATAGAGCCACAAATAGTGACAGATGCAGTCAGGTAGGAATAAGTCCTTTCAGCTGCTCAAACAGGCTAGGGGATGCTGGGGTCCAAGGAGGGAAAAGTAACTACTTTAGGAAGTTGTGGAAGGACAGCCTTGCAAAGGAGGTCCAAGACCTCAGGGCCAGCATGGAAGGAGCATGGAG